AAAAAAGGAAAAATCTCTGCTAGGCCATGCTTTCACTTTCCTAGTACACATTTTTCCCATTGGGCAAGCATCGAGCAACTCTCTCTGAGTTAGTGCACCCAGTGGCATTGCCTGGGAAGATTATCTCTGGTCACAGTGGATTTTTTTTATAAAAGCAGTTTTACTTGAACCTCATTTTTGGGGGGTGGCCAATTTAAGAGAACACCGAGTGGCTGTGAAAGTTTGTTTCCTGCTAAGAAAAATATGCCACGGAAATTGTTGTGATGTTCAACACAACTTACAAGGATGGCGCTATGGGAAAAACGCAAGTGTATGAGTGGTTTTCTCATTTCAAAAAAGGTGAAATGTGGATTGATGACAAGCCTCATTCTAAATGTCTGTCAACTTCCCAAACAGATGAAAATGTCAACAACATTTGTACACTTGTGCTCATTGGATCATTAAAGAGATGGGAGAGTTATCTGGACTATCTTGGAGCTTGGGTCAGCAAATTTTAACCAAAGATATGGGAATGAGGAGGGCCCTGTGAAATTTGTGCCTTGCATTCTGAGCAGGAAAAGAACACCGACTGGAAACATGCTTGCTTTAAGAAAGCAAACATCAATCCTGCCAGAAGTCACCGTTTCCACCTCACCCCAAAGAGCTTGTCAAGTTAATTAGAAGATCAAGATGATGCTCACTTGTTTTCTGATATGAGGGGCATAGTGCATTTGCAGTTTGTTCCACCAGGTCAGACTGTTCATCAAGCTTTCTATTTAGAGGTTCTGAAAAGATTGTGTAACCATGTATAACAAAAATGGCCTGATTTGTGGGAAATGGGAGATTCGTCGACAATGCACCTCTCTTACAGCCATCTCAGTGTGCCAGTTTTGGGCATAAAACAGCATGTGTCTCTTGTCTCATGTACCTTACTCACCTGACCTTGCTCCATGCAACTTCGTTTTGCTTCTGAGAATGAAGAAAGACATGAAAGGACAGTGATTTGATGTAGAAGAGGTGAAGAAAAAATGAGGCAGGTACTGTCAGCCATCCAAACAGATGAGTTTGAAAAATGTTTCCAAGAATGGAATTGCAGATTTGACAAATGTATTAAGTGTAATGGAGAGCACTTTGAAGGTGATAAGATTGTTTTGTGAGAAAAAATAAATAAATACATAGCTTTGGAAAAAAATTCAATTTTTTT